TTTTAACTATCTTTAAGCTCACCTTTAGACAAAGTTTCTGGGAATTTAGCATGTTCTCTTGTGAATTTTCTAATAATTCAAAATTAATTTCAGCTGAACTTGTCTCTATATTTTTAGATATGGAGCGACTTTTACTACTCTCCACAAACTCTGTTTCAATTTGAAGATTGACTTAAATTATTTTTCTAATATACTCCATATAAAATCAAAGTCAATTTAATTTCAACTTCATTTAAAACAATCTATAATCATTGTTTTCACCCTTCCACTCGCCTTGAATCAGTCGAAGACAACTTTTAGCTAAAGTTAAATTTCATTTCAACTTTTCTTCAACTAAATTTCAATCTAATTTTACACAATTTATATTTTATAAAAATATATAAAATGTCCCAGCAACTGTGTTTCAATTTCAACATTACCTTCAATCGTTTTTCTAATTTACTTCGCAAATTCAATTCAATTTCCATTTCAGTTCAATTTGCGTTTCAACTTTCCCCCAACAAGTATCCACACTTTGCTGAACTTTAAGTCCTCTTTGTGCTCGTGCTCTGCACGCAATGCAAAACAAAAAGCTTTCGAACTCATTTGAGCGCGTACTTCAACTGTTTGAGTCAACCATTACTTTCAATTCAATGCGTTAAAAAGTTGTACGACCGTAAAACACATTCTAGCAAATTAGTCGACTTTAAATTACTTAAGTCAAGCTGCTCTGCCGCCCTTGTCCTTCGCCACGCTGTCATAAAATATGCTAGCTACTTAAAGTGGCATAAAAATTAGCAACACGCTGCGTATACTTAATACGTATTACGTAATACACAGTACGTAAAATTTGTGCTCGCTCGAAAAGTGATTTATGCGCTTTCGCGTATAAAATTTAGTTTCTCCTGGCAACAAGTTAATTTTTAACTCATGGCCGCCATAAAAATGCTAACAAAATATTTTGTGAATTTTATATTGCAACGCGCTACTGAATAAATCACATTTTTGTAGTGGAAAACTTTTCGCCACGACTTGTGCTTGAAAAGGATTTGTCGAGGTGCTCGCTTAAAGTTTATGCGCAGCTCAAGCCATGCTTAGAGATACACGAGTGGGACGATGAGTGGGTGTATGTGTATGTGGATGTGGCTGCTTGAGTCCTGGCAGTTAATCCTCGTGGCATGATAACCCTTGTGGCATGTCTATGGCAACAGGGTCACAAACAGATGCACGCAATCAAATTTAACATCAGCTTTCTCGCTCGACTGTAAATTAATATGACAGCCAGCGCAGCACCCTCCCACAAGCCTTGTCCTGCTACTTGTCCTTAATCCTAACCTGTCCAGAGTTCAAGGCTCTAGCACATCAGATGCAGACCGGGAAAATACAACAAGAAGAAAGTCGTTGAACAAATGTTTTGCTACGTGCATATAAATTTAATTAGCTCATTTGTTGACTTTTTGATATGCCTCCGAAAAGGCTAATGAAACTCTACGCAAATTGACTTACAAATAACGTTATTTTATTAGTCAACGAAATTATACAGACAGCAGCGCATGACGATACTAATGGCTGAATTGTGTACTTTTGAGAGCAATAAAAATTTGCCAGACACTTAATGGAGCAATATCTATTTTAAATCTATATATTGGCGGCAAGCACTCTGTCCTTCGGCTGGAAGTTGAGTTTGTAGGCTGCAGAATGGCATTTGGTAACATTTTTATTATAAGCTCAGCTGTTAAATGATCGAATGAAGTACGGACATTTTTATCTTTTCAATTATATATTAAGACTACATAACAAACTGAGTGCTAATTTTCGCTGATTAAATTCATTTTAGCATAAAAAGTTAGACCCAAACAGAAAATATTTAGCAAGCAAAATTTTGAGCTTAAATTTAGAAACATTTCAACGATCAAAATGTAAAACAAAATCTCTCTCTGATTCTAAAGAAATTCTTTCTATAGGTATATATATGTATATGTGTCTAAGGTTCAGTCTCTCCCATTCTTTCTCTTTTAGTCTCATTTTCATTTTCTCATTCAATATTCAATATTATTATTATTATTATTATTATTATTATTATTATTATTATTATTATTATTATTAATATTATTATTATTATTATTATTATTATTATTATAATTATACAATTCTTTCTCTCGGTCTCCCTCTATATCTCTCTCTCCTTCACACTCACACTCTCACTCACTCTCACTACTTCTCTATCTCTATCTGTCTTTATCTCTATCTCTCTCTTTATTCATCTCTCTCTATCTTTATCTCTATCTCTCTTTCTCGCTCTCCCTCTCTCTCTTTCTCGCTCTCTATCTTTCTCCATCCATCTCTCCCTCTCTATCCATCTCTATCTCTCTCTCTCCATTACTCACTCTATCCATCTCTATCTCTTTCTCTCTCTCACACTCTCTCTCACTCTCCCTATCCCTGTCTTATTTCAACTACCAGAGAGAAAAGTAAAGTATTGCCATCTACTTAACTATCTCCTCTGTACTTTGTGTTGATTTCTCAATCTCCCTCTTATACTGCCCATTGAATTTAATAGCTGTAAAAACTATGTAAATTTTATACGAAAAAATCTAGTGCATTTTTATTACTAATTTGATTTGTTCCAATCGAGTTCCTTATTCAACATTTTTTTTAGCCATGAACTTAAAAGTGATGGCCCATCAGAATTCTAAGCGTAGCGCAGCATAAAAACAAACTGTCTCAAAGAGCTCTAGGAAAAAAAAACATTTACTACAAATTTTAGTTGCCCTTTTCTAAGAAGAGAGAGTGAGCTGAGGTAGAGAGAGAAAGGGAGAGTATGGGTGGGAATGCAAAACAATTGTCGCAAAATTGTAAAAATAATAAAAATTCAATTAAGGCGCGAGTTGAATTAAAGACTTGGGGAACAATTCAGATTTTGTTATTTTTTCTTGTTATTTTTTTTTACTGTTTGCTTAAATTAGTATGGGTGTGTGTGTGTGTGTGTATGCCTGATTCGACACTTGTCGTCAGCATTTTTTTTCTTTTGCCATTTATTTTATGTATATTTGTATATACACTTTTCTGTATTTCAGTGCCGGGCAAATTGTGGAACATAACAATAAGCACACAACGAGCTGCAACAACAATGCGAATGCGAATGCGAATAAGAATGGAAATGAGAATGAGAATGAGAGACTGACTACAACAACAACAACAACAAGCGCAACGAGCGTGTACTGTAATAATGATAATAATCATAAAAGCGAGCCCTTGTCGCGCGTCGGCTTTGGCTCTTTGGAGCGTTAAAGCCACAGCCACAGATACAGAAGCCTCGCTCTCCGTGTTGCCACTGAGTTATGTTTTGATGCAAAAGACATAAAGGACCTGCCGCCTTTCAGCTGCGCCAGTAACATGATTTAATTAAGGTCCCTCCTACATGTGCTAAGTAGATTTTATTCCTCTTGCCAGTCACCCAGCCAACCAGCCAAGCAGGCAGGCCAGCCAGTCTTCACGGCATAATTGATTTAGACGTTTACTGCATTAAACGGCAGGCAACAAAAAAATAAAGAGAGAGCAAAAAGAATTACGTGGCCAACGCTGCGTATGAGCTCTATTTGATTTAGCATTACATTTTCATTATATATTTGCTGCTACTTATGTTAACACAATATATCATTTTGTTTAACATAGTTATATATATAATAATTTGTGTTTTTTTTTTTTTTTTTTTTTTTGATGAGCCAGCATTTATTATTTTTTTTTTTTTTTTTTTTTTTGTCCTTCAGTCTGCCTGTCTGCCTGCCTGAAGTTGAAGTATTTTTGCGCTCGTCATTCATATTTGATTTGATATTATCCCAAAATCCATTAACCAAACCAAATTCTAAGCCCTAAAAGCAGCACAAATTCTCTGCATATACTTATTTCGCATATATGAGATATATGCAGGTACTTGAGTCCGGATGAGGGGACTCGAGAATTGCCATAAGAGGATTTCAAATGCTTTATGCTGGCTTTGTCACATCATATATAATCATAATGATGATGATGATATACAACCTGTTTGGCAAGTGCTCGCCCATTCATTTTGCCAAACTCAAAACTGTAAATCCATAAAAAATTGCTGATGCTTTGGGCATTGATAATTAACTGCTTGAACTTGCTCTTTAAATCGATAATGCGTAAATATATATTTGCTTTTTTTACATTTATTTCTATTTAGGCCAAGTTTAGGGCTTGAGTTATTTATGGCTTGCTGCTGTCGACCGGAAAAGTTTTTAATATAAAGAGATTAAATCACTTAGTAGAAAAATATGTTTAGTTGCGAATTTTGGGTGATTTATTTTTTTGACAATATGTTTCCTTTAAGATTTTAAATTGTGGCTAAAAATGTATATATATTTCACAGGAAATTAGTTATGTAGCTATAGGTAAAAAAATCTATGAGCTTTACACGGGCAATTCTGCTTGAATAGGTTTAAAGCCAACACCATCTTAGGTAGATCCCTTTCATATCGTCCACAAGCATATCTCAAATTGAATTATTATTTTAAAAAATATATGAATAATAATTACAATTTATAATCAAAAAAATATATTAGAATTATCTATACTCTATACTTATAAATGACTCAATAGAAAAATCCTTAAATATACTATATACAATTATATCTATATTTTTGAAATGCATTTCAGTCTTTAGCAGTGCATTTGCAAGATAATGCATTCTAGCTATGCGCATAGGTAATTAAATCAGAGAGCAGGTTAAGCAAATGTTGATAATTTCTATTGTGGCCAGGCTGTAGGCTATATAGACATATATATATTAGTTATATTTATATTATTGTCCTTGTTGTCCAATGGCACGTAGCTAAGGGATTAATAAGGCAGCTGGCATAACAAGTTGCCTGCTTTATGGAAATAATGATTCTTGCCTGCAGCTAAGATCAAGCAAGTGAAGAAAATATATATATATAAACATATTTACATTACATATGTGTCGGCAGATAATAGGATATTTGTTGTTGTTCTGTACTTACATATTGACTTAATGCGTTGCTCTGGTTGTTGGGCAATCGCTTCGGGCTCCGTGGCAGTAGCTGTGACTGTTGCAGTTGCAGTTGCCATTGCACTTGCCATTGCAGTTGCCGTTGCAGTTGCCGTTACAGTGGCTGCTGCAGTGGCACTAACAGCAGCAGCTGCAATTAAAGCCGCCTTCATTGTTGTTGCATTTATCATTGTCTGCAGCAGCGCCAGCAGCAGCAGCAGCAGCAGCTTTACGTAGTTGGCCATCCTCGCCAAGCTGATCCTTGCTGAAACTTGTTTGCCTTAATTATTTGTCCTTATTGCTTCACTCGTGAGCTTGATTAGAGAGGCATTTGATGAATTAAATTACTGCTCTACCGTTTACAATTGTTGCTGTCGTTCTAGTTGCTGTTGTTGTTGTTGTTGTAGTTGTTGTAGTTCGGTCGATTTCCACATGATTTAGCAGCTGCAATTGGAAAACCAGATAGATAGTCCACAATCAATTTATCTAATTAGATTCAACACGCACATTAGCATCTTTTCAAATTGCTGCAACGCTCTCAAGTATGCTATGAATTTATTTATTTCAATAATTCCATCGACAATTTTCATAAAATTGAAATTTCAATGCACATTTGTATCGTTGACAAAGCATTCGTCTAACACTCAATTATTTACATATGCATTTAATTGCCAGTGTCAGGTTTACTAATGCACTGATGCAGTTAATTAATCAAACAATCGCCTATATCAATATTTATTATCTAGCTAGTTAAGCGATTGTGTTTACAAAATCAAATAAATATGAGAATTTTAGGAAACTAACTAGAATATGAGTTTAAGCAAATACCTATAAATATATTAACAGACTTAGAAAGAGAGAGAGAGAGAGAGAGAGAGAGAGAGAGAGAGAGAGGAAGACCCATTTAGACACATTGTTAGATAAGAGTTTTTGTTGTCTTATTAATATTCACAATATTTAGTGTCTTAGTCTTTTAACCTAGTGACTAATTAGAGTAAACAAAAATTAATTTTATATACTTTCGAAGGCTATGGAAGATAAACAACAGAAAATACATTTTTATAGAGTGTACCTAAAGTTCAAGGGAGCATATGACAGACTTTAAATCAAAAGTCGTCTGGGTCCTCTTCTACCTCTAGAGCAAAGCAGGGCGATCCCTTGGGGTGAAGTGCCTAGACGCTTGGCAAAGCCAAGTTTGGTTCACAGAGTTCAAGGAGATATATGATAGAGGTTAGCACCCGATCAAATTACTGATGAGAGAGTGTCGGCGTTTGAGTCGCCTTCTAGTTGTAGTGCTAAACTCACGATACCTATCAATACCTAGCCAGCCGGTCTCTTGGGGTACAAGTTAAAATAACACTTGCCCACGCTTCATTTATTTTGCTATCCAAAACCCAAACTAAAATGCATTTTTAATCAGTATCCTTTCTAGTGTATCCTGTTTACTTATGGGAGATTTATAAGCTAAGAAATCGTTCCCTTATCATGCATTGTGCTCATTTTTCTGCTGTATCCCTTTTGCTCTCCCTTTGTTTTTCTCAATTTTGCACCTTTTCCTATTTCAATTTTTTTCTCATCTCCCTAACCTCTTCGCTTAAGCAGGTTTGTTGTCCATTTAAAAAGCATTTTCCCCGTCTGGTAATGCATTTCTCTCTTTGTCCCGGCAATATAATAAACTTTAGCTGTCTCTTGTTGAAGTTAATTGTGATCATAAAAGGGACTCCGCCGAAATGAAGCTTGCAACTGACACCACCTGTGCAATTATTCCTAATGTGATTAACTATTAAGTGTAATTTCCCTCACTTTTCTCTGTATTATCTATTTAGCTTATCTTAGTTCTTATCTCCCTTATTTTCCGCTCAAACCTCTGTCCTTTTCTTATTATAATATCTGAATAGTTATATCATTCTTAAACATTATTGAACGAACTATAATGTGTTTTTAAGGCTATAGTAGACCTGAATAAATATGTCCCTTTCAGTACTTTTCGATTACCGATTGCAAATTACCGTTACTGCTCAAATAACAATTAACTGTTTGTCTTTCGCCGGAACAGTTGGCGCGTGTTAATTTCATATCCACTTGGCGCATTGTTTGATTGGCGCCCAACGGCCCAAACAGCTCATTACGCAATAACAGCAACACCAGCAACAACAATGTCAACCACAATTACAACAACATGCAGTACAACAATATCATTTATTACAGCCCAGAGGACAATTGAAACAGAGAGACAACGAGACAGACAAAGAGAGAGAGAGAGACAGCATTGGTAATATTAAAGTATTAAATGCCGTGATTATCTCTGTGTCTGTGTGTTGCTCTCATTGTTGTTGTTTGTTGTGTAATATGGTATATGGTACACGTTAAGGTCAGCTTGTACTTTGACCCGTGCACTCGGCAAAATTTGCATTGTTTGTTATTGTTTATCCAAAAATTAACATTTTAATTGGATTTTGGGAATTTGATGCTTTTGAATCTGAGCAAGCCATATTTCAGACCAATTTCATCGAAAGCTCTCTCTCTCTCTCTCTCTCTCTGTTCTTATTTGTTTGTATGTAGTTGATGGCATTGGTATTATTTAAACAAAAAAAGAAAGAAAACATAAGTAAAGAAATACATCATTATTTCAGAACAAAAAAAGAAAATAAATAAATCCAAACTTTGGTTCGAATATATGTGGGCAGCATCCATATTGACATAACGCATAACAAACAATGACTTGACTAGGTAATACCCTGTTTGACATATATTTATAAAAAAAACTTTCTCTTTAAAAAGTATTGTATAGAACTAGCAAGTGATTAACCAACACTGGCTGTAATTTCAAGTGTTATTAAATCGTGAAATTATTAATATGTTTGAGGGAATTAAGTTTTTTAAATATGAACTTATACATAGCAATATTATTATAATTATTATTATTATATTTATTTTTTAAATATTAAAAAGTTTTCAGAAATTATTGAAATGTAATAAAAATCTATCTAACCATCTAGAAGTGGTAAGCAACCCTAGGTAAAAGCTGTATTATTATTGAATATAAGACAAGGTTTTGGAATTTTAATTACATACTTGAATGAAGACTTGGATAATTTAATTTTCGATTTTAGCATCAGCTATCAAAAAATCACAATCAATCATTTTATTGACATCCATACATAAACAATATACCCCATCCAACTGCATAAACAGAGTATCAAGAGGAATATAATTGTAAGCCCAAAAGCAAATACAGCAATGCTCATTAAAGTCAACTCAAATATTTAAACGAAAATAAAACAAGAATATTCACTTTGAGCCCCGTTGAAAAAATGCAAAATTAAATACATTAATTATTGCATCAGAAGTGTAACAATTTCAACGCTAAAAATATGAAATTAAAATGATTAATTCAATTGAATATTTTTAAAAACCAAGAGATTTTCATAAGAAATGCAAAATTTAACACAATTTAAGCGAGAAAACGTTGAGGTAAAATTTAGTAAAAATCTTTATAACTTTTAATACTCAATAAAATCCAATTACTTTATCTCTAATCTGATGATTCGATTTAGTATCTAAAGAATATTTTCTTATAGAGACTAAACTTATTGCATTATTTTAACATTGAATCAACTAAAGATTTTATTTATATTTATGTATTTATTTTCAATTAAATATTGATTTTAAAGAAAATTGTAAGAGAAGCACAAAATGAATTCCGCCATTTATTAAATTGAAGGGATTTAAGATTGAAATTTCATTGAATCTTCAATTCATTTATAATTTATAAGCGTCAACTAAATCTGATTACTATATCCGGGACCTTTGTATATGGAACAGTTAATTAACTATGCAACAATTATGGGGTGTGAATGGAAGCTGTGTGTTAATTGTGTCTGGGCTTCTATTAAAGTTGACTTCAATTATGCCACACCCCAACCCGATGCTAATTTAATGAAATTTCGTAAAAGTTGCGACCGAAAATTAAGTTTAAACAAACTTTGCTTTAATTATAAAACACAGCGAAAGGCTCCCAAAAAAGCGTCATCAATATGCAAATGGTGCCCAAACTGTTTTTTTTTTTTTTTTTTTTTGCCTTTGCTTTCGTTTTAGTAGTCGAACTTTGTATTTTTTCCTTTTCCCTCCCTTTCTCTTTTGTAAAGCGATTTTCGATATTTGGCACCCGAAAGTAAATCTTTTTTTTTTTTTGGTTCGTGCTAGAACCAGTTGAATTACTAATTTTGAATATGTCATGTGAACACCATGTCCTTGGGCGAATGCAGCTCTGTTATTGATGCATGATAATAGCATAAAGCAAACTAGTTTACAGTATTTTTAGTTTCTGTTTTAGCAAGTAGGTTACTTTCTAGAATTTATATTTTAAATAAATGGAAAACGAAATGTAAAATAGTATTCCCAAAAAATATAAAGCTATTATCAATTATCGAATTTTGAACACGAAATGGGATTTAGTAGTGCTTTGCATTAGATAAAAGTTAATATATATTTCATGGAAAAAGGCATATCTAAATTACGTCTAGTTGGGAAAAATCGAATTTTGTAGGCAACAGGAATTATGTTTCCCTGATGATTTGATTTTCTGCTCACTATTTTTTGTGCATTGAGGTTCCTTTGCTATGCCTAAACGAATGAGAAGGTAAGTACATCGAAGCTTTGAAAAATAATTGCAGAAGTTTCCATAATAGGGTGAAGATTAGTCTCAAAATATCAAAAACATTCCCGAACAATAAAGCAATTTTTAATTAAATAAAATTCACAATTGTTTTCAATTCAATTGTATCAATAAATACATGGATACATATAATTATATCGATCAGTGTATCGTCAAGTATGATGTATTGAGCCAATAAGAAATCCCGAATAAGAAATATTTAGCTACAGTATCCCTACGCAATTTATTTGATTAATGTCTTCAGGTCGAGTCAAGTGCATTCAATAGGCGCAAAATCTAAATCACAATCTGCCCTAGTTACACAAATCGTCGTTACGCAAATCGTCTCTAATTTTCACTTTTTTGCAATCAAATACTTTTTGGCTGCCTTCAGACTCGCAAATACAGCAACTCATGGTGGTTGTAATCACTTTATTAAATTAGTTGCTTGGCAAGATGAGCCAGCATATTCAGAG